TCTTGAGAGTTCTGAATTTTATTTTTCTGAAAAAAAGGAATCATGCTACCTAAAATTGATCTGGGAGACTACTGACAGCCCATGAAAGTTTGGTGTTAAAAAGGTCAAGATGGCCCCTAGATCAGAGTATGACTGCTATGTACCTTCCTTCTAGCATGCTTCATCCTGAATATTATATACGTATAAATTTCCCCTTTATTGCAGGAATACCATCATTTTCCCATGACCCACTTCCAAAGAAATGAACCTTAGGGCAATCAAAACATGTTTAGGAATTCTGAGCCACATGGAGAATTGGGAAGGATATTTGCAGTACCTTACTACATTCACTTTTGCCCACAGCCTTGGGGATTTGGCTGATGAGGGTAAAACAAAAGGGTTGATCTCAGATTTTGTCATCAAATAATATGACAAAATCTGGAACAAATCCAAATGTTTCAAATGCTGGGTGAAGTTACTTACACTTAGGTGCTACTGAAATTAGCCATTAGTGCAACTCACTTTGTTTTATGATAATGGCTGCACTCCTGATCACAGATGCTTGCTAGAATAGCCTTCCCCAACCTGGTGCACTCCAGATCGGTTGGAGAGGCAACGCCCGAATTCCACCTCCAGCAGAGAGCCTCAGCTGAGGAAGGCTGAACTGGGGATTACCTTCCATCAACCCCAGAGACCAGTGTGTGCACCCAGACGAACCTTCTTTCCACCAATGCTGAGTCGAAGCGGAGGGAGGAAGGGGTCAAAAACCATTTGGCTTGTGTTGACGTCCACTGGAGACTGGCGTTTGCCAATGGCACAGAGGCTCCACGCTGAATTCACAAGACCCCAGAATGGAGGACCTAAAAGAGAGCAATAAAAAACAAACATATTCCCCCAGCCAAGAAAATATTTTTATCCCTGGCTCTCCAGGGTGCAATTACAGACAAGGGAGAGTGTCAGCATCAGGGGAGCCATTCAGCAAATGTACCTCTTTGTGTGTGTGCGCCCGTGTGCATTTGTTTGAAAACAGCCTCCAATGTGTATATGTGTGTGGGCGGGGGAAGGAAGATTACAAGCACTTCAGTGTGTTTCTTTCTCAACTGGTTGCATCTGCGCGCATAGCTAAGATAAAGAAACGTAATATAGGAGAAGCTGGATGGAACTGCAAATCAGGGTAGGATTAAATCTGATGCATTGGGGGAGAGCAAAGGGCCAGTGATTCTGGAGATGGTCACAGCCTCCCATTAAGCACCTCCTGTGCTTGCAAGCATAAAATCAGCAGGGCAAACGTGTGTCTCTAATTCCCAGGGCCATTCCTGAGTTGTCTTATGGGATATTACTGAATAGGCATGATATTGTATGTGTTCTTGGGTTGCCTCGGTCAATCCCAGTTGGATGCCCTCCGGATGTGCTGACTACATTGCTCATCATCCCCAGGCCAGGGATCATGGCAGTCATAATCCCCCAGGATAGGAAAGATTGTGCTATTTTGGTAAATGCAAATTGTCATCAGGTGGTGCATTAGAATCAATACACACATAATGTACACACATAAGTAAGTGTGTGCGTGCACAAATATAGAGATTTTAGTATCCTCCTTCTCTCTTGATGCATTTTTAATAATAGGGAGAGAAAATGTGCATGCATGCCATTTAGTCAAACAATATTTCTAGGCCGCCTTTCCTGGGCGTATCTTCTTTTTGTACGTGTGCTTGCAGGGTTGATTCATCCCCAGTCCCTCAATGGCTCTGGCATATTTTTGTATCCTCATCTATATGTGTACACTTAATGGTTTTTTTTTCCCCTTTCCAATCAGGGTTTTGCCCGTTCTTCCTTTTGCCACCTTCCCCAGGCAGGCTAAATGGATAGGGAGATGGAAGGAGAGAACCCCGTGGCTTTCAACCCCATGGTCACAAGCCCACCCCATCAGCCCAGCCACCCACCCACCCATTGTGACTGTGTTTCTCTTCACCTCCTGTTCGCTGCATTGCTGGAGCAAGCAAGGGAGATATTAAATATTAATGCAGCCTCTTGCAGTTGCCAAGCTGAGCCCAGCCCCCACCTCAGCTCCGCACTGTGTACAGCCGCGGCGCAGTAGTGCTCTCCCCCAGCAGCGTCCCCTCCCTCGCAGGAAGACCACAGCAACATTTCTCTTCCCCTTCTTCGGCACCACCACCCTTGGGACTCTGCGAGGCATCCCCAGCCTCCAACATGGAGAGGGGTCACCCGTGAGACATCTGTCCTCATCTGGTCTTCCACTCTAATGGGCTGCCTAGAAGGGGTGCCGAGGTTCTGCGCTGAGGAAACCCCACTCCTGAGCTCAGAATAAATTATGCCGATTGAATCCCATTTGCATGCATCTGCTAAACCTGCCTAAGCTGAAACGGGGAGCTGGTTCCCTCCACTGCCATGTTTGGAAGTTTGGAAGAAGCCAGGAGCCTGGGGAGGAAAGGAGAAAGGGAGGGTGGTCTGATCCTGGCTGAGAAGGGAGCTGGAAGGAGCTATAAAGAACATATGGTGGGGAAAAGGGATGAGAGGAAGAAATCCATCAATGTTTCCAAACAGAAGGGTGAGGGAGCATGCCAATATTCCATCCCTGAGCAAGGGAAATCTTCACTCACGCCCAGGAGCATTTGTGGGGAGGGGGTCCAAAAAGTCAGTCTTGTGGCCACCACCGTGCAATCAAAGCTTCTCTCCTTTTTTATGTGTGTGGCAAATGCAGCATAATATAAAAGGGGTGGAAGCTTTGATCACAGCTACCATCTTCACTTTTTTGTCCCCTCCCCCCAAAAACACCCCTGCCCACACCCCACACCCACTCTTTCCCCCCAACTATTATCAGACACTGCCTGTCCTTGGACACACTGTTTTGTGTCACCTGATGAGAGGAAGGCATGCCTTCCCTTTCAACAAAAGATGTGTGTTTTGACTTTTACAAAGGACCAACATGGAGATTTGTGTTTGTCCTGACTGAGATAAGGAAAACAGCAAACTTTGAAAATTGGGGTTAAGGATGTCATTACAGGAGCAAAAAATGCTCTGTTTAACCAAGAATGGTCCAGCAATCCTGCTCTTTTATTTGCCTACTTGTCTATTTCACTCTCTCACCATTCATTTGGTCATTTTCTA